ACAGTTGCTGCCTCCCAGTAGGCCACTGAAGAGGTCCTGGAGAGCTTCCTGGGGGAGGGGAGCTTTGAAAGAGGGCAAACAGAGAGGCTTGGGGTGGGGCCTCACCTCTTCCCTGCAGACAGGAACATGACACGTAGTGGCGTGAGCGCTGCCATGTGAAATCTGTACTCAGCGGTGATGCTTATCAAAACCCGGACCTCACAGACCCTGAGGTGAGCAAGCCGCACCCCCAGACTATTCCGCATCTCAGGCTGAGCTCTGGTAATTGTACGCCTGGGGTTCACACTTATTCAGGATCATCCTGCTGCCCAGGGCCTTTGAGTCCAGAGACGTGTGGATTCTCAAGGCTGCGTTCATCCCTCTGACTTCAGTGTGTGTGCGCACATGCACGCATTCACTCACACACACACACACACACACACACACACACACACCCCTCCCATTATCCTGGCACGTGGCTACCTTGCTTCTCTTCCTCACCTCTAGGTTCGAAAGGAGCTTGAAGTACATGGCATTGAGTTCTACCCACAGAAGGAATTTGATGAAGATTTGGAGGACAAGACGGAGAATGACAAAATCCGGGTGGGTGCCTGGGGCTCCGCTCACACAGATGCCCCCTGGGTACCCGTGGGAGGTGTGTCACATGCTGCTTCTGGCTTCTTCCCACCTGCTTTTCCCTCCCATTCTCCCTGCCTCACCCTGCCTGACCCCGACCAGCAGTGACAAGGGAGGGGATGAGGACTAGGAGCCTCGGCCAGGACGGTGTGCCCTGCACCCATAGCCGCTGTTCCCGTCATCCCCAGACCACACAGCAGCCGCTCCCTCCCACGGGGCTCAGCAAAACAGAGCCCTGCCTCAGTTTCCCCTCTATAAAATGCAGAGGTCAGGCCAACTGAGTGGCTGATAGGTGTTTTTTTCTCCTGAAAGAACCCTGTAAAGAAATTAAATGCCAGGCAGAACTCCAATATACAAAACCTAAAGCCGGAGCTGCTTTGCTAAGTGATGTCGGCACAGAGCCTTCTCAGCCGCCCGAGGTGTCTCCTGGGAAGCCCAGGGCTGCAGGGAACCTGCTTACAAAGCACCAGCCCGGGTGATTTCTAAGGTCTCTCAGCTCAAACCCTCTGCATCCTGGGACTCTGCCTCGGAATCCTGCGGTCTAGTCCGGCCTTTTCTACTAACCCACGGTCACCCGGGACAAACCACGCACTGGCGTTGGTCTTGGGTCTCCTCCTCTGGCAGGTGTGGGCAAGCTGCTACAATCCCCTTGTCTGATGCCGAGGAGACAGGCAGTTGGTCAGTTAATTGATGAAACCACTTAAAAGAGGCACACAAATCCTGTGTTTAAATAGTTATTTTACTAAATTATTAAGTAAACATTCTCCTCTTCTTGGGGACTAAGTTTACTGTCCGTGCAGAAGCAACTCACCTTTATCAAATTTTTCTGAAACATTCAACTTAATTTTCAGAGAAACAGTTCTCTACGCACATCTACCCTCAGCTTATATAATAGTTAATTGATTCAATCATGACAACGAGCACACAGCAGGCATCTGCATTTGGGAGCAAACAGCTGCATCTTGGTGAGCATGCAGTTGAAATAGGTGACCAAAGAGTTCTGAACCTCTGACATGACAGCCTTAACACCTGGGGGAGCAGGAGAAGAGGAGTGTTATGGCCACTAGGTGGTACTGTGGTGCCTTGCTAATTGACCATTGCCAGGGCTCCTGGGTATTAGAGGAGTTAGTCTCTGCAGACCTATTTGTGATCCTGGAGTGGTGTGCCTAAGCCTGTTTCCAGAGAGCCTCCCAGTCCGAGCACTTTCCTGCCAGAGTGTGATGATGCCAAACATGTATAAAGTCCATTAACCACCTGCCAGTCCCTCATGCTTTGTCCAATTGATCCAGTACTACTATCGGGAACTGGGCTACTCTTCATCTTAAAGATAAGGAAATTTGCTCAAGATCTCATTACTTTTTTTTTTTAATTGATTTCGGAGAGGAAGGGTGAGGGGAGATAGAAACATCAATGATGAGAGAGAATCCCCTACTGTGGTTCGAGCCTGCAACCCAGGCATGTTCCCTGACTAGGAATCAACCCCTGACCTCCTGGTTCCTAAGTCGATGCTCAACCACTGAGCCGCACTGGCTGGGCTCCAGTGCTCTTTTGAAATGACAAGAGCCTTGCCCTTGCCATCAGTGGGGTCACTGAATGAACCTCAGAAGTGTGCAGTTCAGGGTTGGGGGCCCAGATGGCAGAGGATGACGTGCGCACGCGTCTGGTTTGTCAGCAGGAGAGCATGCCGTTTGCCGTGGTGGGAAGTGACAAGGAATACCAAGTGAACGGCAAGCGGGTCCTCGGCAGGAAGACTCCCTGGGGGATCATCGAAGGTAATCCAGTGCACCTTTTTGAAGAACCGGCTGCTGGCCAATTATGCTTATTTATTATGCATGTCTAGGTCAAGGCACTGTGCTAGGATGTAAGATAGAAAAAGAGTGCCAGGCAGACCCAGCCATAAGGAGCCTACAGTCCAATTGAGAAATGAGACTCCCAGGGCCGGAAGCAATAAAAGACTGACTTCGCACCTGTCTGGGAGGCACCGACTCACATGTCAAAGGTCTTCAGACCGTGGGGAGATTAATAAGCACTGGACACGCCAGAGAAAGGCTTTCCCATGAAAGCTGATGGGTTGTGCAGATGTTGCCATTTTCGTTTTATTATGAATGGATGTGACCTTGAGAAGGTCGTAACGATTCTGAAAGTTTTCAAAGAATTGCTTCAGTGATCTCATCCCGTATGATAACCCTTTAAGGCAGCGGTTCTCAACCTGTGGGTCGAGACCCCTTTGGGGGTTGAACGACCCTTTCACAGGGGTCGCCTAAGACCATCGGGAAACACATATATAATTACATATTGTTTTTGTGATTCATCACTATGCTTTAATTATGTTCAATTTGTAACAATGAAAATACATCCTGCATATCAGATATTTACATTATGATTCATAACAGTAGCAAAATTACAGTTATGAAGTAGCAATGAAAATAATTTTATGGTTGGGGGTCACCACAACATGAGGAACTGTATTAAAGGGTCGCAGCATTAGGAAGGTTGAGAACCACTGCCTAAGGGGAGCAGGGTAGGTGTGACTTTTGGGAGCATCAACTGATGAAGCTCTTGAATCTCAGACAGGTTAAATGTCTTGCCCAAATCACATGACTTGTTAGTGGTGAAACTGGGATTTCAGACCTGGACATGTTGATTCCAAAACCAAGTTCATCCCATTGTATCATGTTGTCTCTCATTTCTCTATGACTTTTTGTTGAAAATTCTTTTTCATTTTCTTTTTTGGTTTGTTTTTATTGAATTTATTTGGGTGACATTGATTAGTAAAATTAAATAGATTTCAGGGGTACAATTCTATATACATCCTCTATATATTTTTAATAGCGTTTTTCATTATCTGCCTTGAATTGGAACTATTTATGAGAATGCCTGTTTTACCCATTAGATTGTGAGACCAGAGGGTTCATGTCTTTATTTTAATTTAATTTTTAAGAGAGAGAGAGAGAGAGACATCAATGTGAGAGAGAAACATCGATTGGCTGCCTCCTGTACGCACCCTGACCAGGGATGGAACCTGCAACCTAGGCATGTGCCCTGATTGGGAATTGAACCCGAAACCCTCTGGTGCATAGGCGATGCTCCAACCAACTGAGCCGCACCAGCCAGGGCAGGGTACATGTCTTAATCCTCTTCTGCTCCCACAATCGTTCACAAATGATTTGCAAATCCTAGGCACTCAGTTTATGTTGAACTAGATTTATCATGTAGTGCACGACCATTTTTAAGATGGCTCGGTTGTTATTTTCTATGTGTCACTATCCTCCAGTCTGATTATAAGCTCCTTACGGATAGGAACTATGTCTTTTCTTAGACTCCCTGTGTATTTGTTTTCTTTTCTATGAAGTGGGGCATGTAATAGTCCCTGCCAGTGTTATTCCACAGAGTCCAGAACAGTATTGTGCCTTGTAGCTGCGTAATAAATGTTTGTTCCATGAGTGAAAGTGAAATCGAGTGCACTGAAGTGCCAAGATAGGCCGGCCTCTGACGGCTAGTCGCTGTCCTTGGCTCTCTCCTAACTGCCTCCATGTCCTGAACAGAAGCGTACCTGCTGGGTTGCTGCGTCAGTGAAATGACCACCTGTTTTGCTTTGTTTCCTTTTGTTCTGTTCACAGTGGAAAACCTCCACCACTGTGAGTTTGCCCTGCTTCGAGACTTTGTCATCAGGTAAGATGAACCCCTGCCCTCGATGGCAGGCTTAATGATTTCGGGTCAGAAGGCCATCTGTTCAGATCCAGGTCTCTCTGACGGGCCGTTTGCCCCGCTTCCAGGTCCCCTCCTGAAGCACACGGGGCGGGAGAGGCAGCTCTGGCTCTCCGAGTCAGTCCCAGTGGGTCCAGGCCATGGAAGGGAAGTGTTCACCCTGGGTGGGGGGTCACCTCTTCGTCCTCCCACCCCTAATCGCCTCTCTCTCTCTCTTCACCTGTGTCCCTCAGGACTCACCTCCAGGACCTCAAGGAAGTGACACACAACATCCACTATGAGACCTACAGGGCCAAGCGGCTCAATGACAACGGAGGCCTCCCTCCGGTGAGCGTGGACACAGAGGGAAGCCACGACAGTAACCCATGACGACCCTTTCTCTACATCATCACACATCCCCACTTCTCCACACACATCCCCAGTACCACCTCCAGCCACCTTCCTTTCTACTCTGTCCCACAGGCCTGTCTGGTATTCATGGAGCATCTTGTCTACAGTGTGTGTGCATGTGTGTGAGTGTGTGTGCATGTGTGTGTGTTTCTGTGTGTGTGAGAGAGAGAAAGAGAGAGTGGGAGTGTGTGTGTGCCTGTGTGCCTGTTCAGGGGTGAGGTATTTTCACTGCCCTTTCTGTGTGTGTGTGTGAGAGAAGGAGAGAGTGGGAGTGTGTGTGTGCCTGTTCAGGGGTGAGGTATTTTCACTGCCCTCCCTGGAAAGTCCTTTGTAAGTTTGGTTTCTCCATGGCTGTCCATTATCTGTCTCCTTTCCTTGTGTCCCAGAACCAAGCCGTGTGCCTCACTCAAGAGGCCTGGGGAGGTTTCACTTAAAAATGAGGGCGCAGGTGAGCCACAGGTAACTCTTTCTTATCTCTCAACCTGCCCGCACTCTGGGTCTGCAGAGATTCTCCGAGGACAGGCAGCAGAGCTAGGCCTGGGAGGGGGCGAGGAGCTCGGACTTACTCCTGCCTGGAAGCCAGATGGTTTGGGGCAAGACCAGGACTTCCTGGGAAAAAGGAAGGTCAGGGGCCAGCAGAGAAGTAGGCCAAGCTGGGCGCCTGCGAGAATTCGTGCCTAGACGTGGAGACGAGAACTCCACCCTTTGGTCTGTGTTGCATTCACTGTCCAAGAGCTACTGCCTGTCCCTGTCGCAGCCTGCTGCTTCCACACGTCACGCTCGCCTCAGCTCCCACAGTCTCTCTTTTTCTCCCTTCCCCTCATTTCTTCATCCTGCTTCTCCCTCACTTCTGTAAGTTCCTTGTAGACTAATCCACTTTAGCTCCATTTCTATATTTAGAATTTATGCCCAGTCTACTTCCAAAAATGACTTAGGCCACCTTAAAATAAAATCACAGCTAAAAGCATGGGGCGGTCCAAACTGGGACTATGAGAACTGCGGTCCATCGACAGGAATGGGAAAGCGTGTGTGCAGGCGAGCGCCACGTCTGGCGCTGAGCTTGTGGGCAGCCCGGGCACAGGAGGAGGCACAGGGCGGTAGGTGCTTCCCAGTGTCTGGTAAAAGCAGCATGCAGGCTGGTCAAGTGAGACACTGTTTTTAGGCATTCAGTTCTAGAAGAACTGAGTCTAAAGAAGTATCAAGAACAAAATACTAGGACAGTATTTGTCTTTCTTGGTAGTTTGGCTTCAGAGACAACTTTAAAATTTTATTTTATTGATTTCAGAGAGAGGAAGGGAGAGAGAATGAGAGAGAGAAACATCAATGAGAGAGAAACATTGATTAGCTGCCTCCTGCACGACTCCTACTGGGGATCCAGCCTGCAACCTGAGTGTGTCCCGTGACCAGGAATCCAACTGTGACCTCCTGGTGCACGGGACGACGCTCAACCCACTGGGCCACACCAGCCAGCCCAGAGACAAATGTTAAATGACACCTTCTTTCTCTCCATTAGGATTCTTCCTCCTTAAAGCTGGCTTCTCTGTTGCTTCCTTCTCTGCTGCTTCCTTCTCTGTTGCTTCCTTCTCTGCTGGACTCTCCTATGAACTTGACCCCCTCTTCTCTCCTCTGTTCTCACTTTTGTGCTGAAGCTAATTGCATTTTGGTTTGTCTGTCTTTCTCTGCTGCTTCCCCCTGTTCCCCCTCCTGACACCTGTAGACATTCCCAGTGACACCCACAATCATACATTTAGCCTTTTCTTGCCTTTCCCTTCAGCCCTGTATTTATTAATGCACATATATCCTATTTGTTTTACAAACACGTTACTCCTCCTTTAATCAGTGAGGCGGCTAAAATGTGGGGCTGGGGAAACAATATAGCCTTAGGCAAGGGAAATCACCAAGGGACAGTTTACAGTGACCTCACGCAACCTCCTGTTCCATGTCCTGGTCCAACCCTAGGTGTTTTGCAGGGCCCCTGTGAACCCCAGCATTTACAGTCCCTTTTCACTCAGGTGCTAGGAAAACACAAAGACTTAAGACCAAGAGTCAGTGCACCAGGTGAAAGAGGTGGGTGATCAATCGCCAATGACCCAAAACCTATGGCCTCAATCTTTCCTGGAGGCTCTTTGCAAATCCAACCCACATCCTCCCTTACCCACAGTTATTCCAGTGTAGGCACCTGTCGGGATAAAACAGCAATAGGGTTAGAGCCCAGAGGTTGCTACATTTCAGCAAAAGAGGGATCCCGGGCTTATACAGCGAGCAGTCCTGTGCGGAAATGTGGGACTAGACCCCTAGGCCTATCAGGGAATGTCTAAGGGTGGCGGTTGGGCATTGAAGAGGCTGAATAGGAAATTTGGCGTGGTGCCCCTAAACCATGATCTCAGCCTCCCTGGAGAAGCTGTTTTATTTGTCTGGTGTCCACACCCTCAACCGTTCTCAACCCCCTGCAGGGAGAAGGCCTCCTGGGCTCTGTCCTTCCACCCGTGCCAGCCACCCCCTGCCCCACTGCTGAATGAAGGCCATTTCAAGCGCTGCTTCTCCCTCCATTCCTCTCAGCTGTTATTGCTGCGGGGCCATGACCTTTTAAGGGCTGTGTTTGTCCAGTCCACCTCCACAGCCCTTCTCTCTCCCTGGCCCTCAGCAGGTGGGAGGGGCCAGCTGCTTTAGGACAGTCGCCTTCTCCATTTATCCAAACACCCCTCTCCTCCCAGTGGAATGGAGCCCTCGCCAGCACTGCCCTCCTCCATCGTCTGTGTCAGCTGGTCCCAGCCCATCTGTAGGGTGAAAGAACTCATCAAGAGCTTCTTCTGCCCTTGCAAACCCATACCAGCTACTTGTTACCATCTCCAAGGGACATGGCATTGCTCCCTGTCCATCTGCATGAGCTACTCTTGGCTTCCTTAAAGGGTCAAGAAAGCCATTTTTCTGCTTGTCAGATTCATTGATGTCAGCTGTGTGAGCCCTGGTGTGGGACAAGGGTGTCTCCTTCATTGCTTAAAACTTATTTATAAGGATGGGTCACTACAGATGTGGGGGAGTAAGGGCTAGGACCTCTCCTTTAAAAAGCACCACTTGTGGCTGGCCCAGAGTGTGGTTACACACCCTCCCCACCCCATAATCAGCCACTTAGGAAGAGTGGTTTTCCGAAGAGACATTTCTGGGTTGACTCCCTTATCCTCAACCTTAAAAAACAAAGGAACTAAACACAGACAAAAAAACTCCAGATCCCCAGAAGATGTGAACTCTAGGAAGAAAAAAAGCACCCATCTGTCTACTTAGCAATAAGAAGGATCTCTTCCCACCCACATTGACTATTCCTACCCCTCCCCTCCCCAATTAATGTGAGTAATGAAACAGTCTGGCCACAGTTGGGCACTGTAGGCTAGTGGAAAATACCCAATGGAGGGCAAAGGCCCTTATCAGATGCATGAATGTTTGCGAATGTCGGCTGCCACTGCCCCACACACTGTGTCTTTATGGAATCTCTCCCTGCCCACCCCTCCCCTTCTCCACCTGGACACAACTTGCTCAAAGGCTGGTGACTTGTGGGCCATTCATCTACAACCAAGTCCTGATGGAGCAAGAGGCCCAAGCCTAGGGGATGCAAGAACGACCCATTTCTTAAATGTGACTAGTCCCAGCCAACCTTTTGGTGACATTATGGTTAAATTTCCCAACTGAAAACAAGCCAATGACACTCAAACTGGTTGTGTAAATGTTGCTAGACTTTATGTGTTGTACAACTAAACATTGCTGTTTGAACAATAACTGCCTGGCCTGTGTCTTATTTGTGCTCCTCACTCCTTGGCCAAACAGACATTACATCATCTCACCCATGTGTGGAGGGTGAGACAGGGACTGTCTTAGAAGTAGCCACAGAAATTAAAGATAGAAATCACTTTGTAAGGTCAGTTCATCTTTAGTTGGACCCCAGTCATTATTCCCTGGGATTTTGTATCTAAAATGAGTGATGAAACTCTCATACTTGATTTTCAGGGATGCATTGCATAGCTTGCTTCCTTCAATGAAAACAATTTAAATCACTAGCTTGTCTCTCTCTCTCTTTTTTTTTTTTTAACTTAAACCCATCCTGCTTCTCTTTGAAGTTATCCTCTCCTTTGTAACCAGCAAATAATACAACTCTCACCTGTATATTATTTCTCTAAATTTGGACATGATGGGCCCATACATGCGATTGTGTTTGGGATCTCAATATTCTGTGAGTGCAAGGTATAGATCAGTGATGGTGAACCTATGACACGCGTGTCAGAGGTAACATGCGAACTCATTTTTTTGGTTGATTTTTCTTTGTTAAATGGCATTTAAATATATAAAATAAATATCAAAAATATAAATCTTTGTTTTACTATGGTTGCAAAGATCAAAAAATTTCTATATGTGACACGGCACGAGAGTTAAGTTAGGGTTTTTCAAAGTGCTGACACGCCGAGCTCAAAAGGTTCGCCATCACTGGTATAGATGAACAGTGAGAGGTCAAGACTGGAGGAAGACAAGTCCGGGGGCTCTTGGGGGTCATTCAGGTAAAATGATGAGGGCCAGAACTGGAGTGCATCGCTACGCCTGGATGGGGAGAAGGGTGAAGATTGGAGTGATGGAGCAGTTTTTCCAACTTAAGATATCACTAGACGAAACCTAAGAGTTCTTCTAGTCCAATGCCTTCGTGCCCATATGGAAGCGTAAGTCCAGAGAGCATAACTGTCTTGTCTGAAGTTGCACACGTAAGTACCAGTGCAAGAAGGAGACCAGATCTCAATGACTGTTCCACTGTTGCACACCGTTCCCATTGTACTTCATTTATTCTCATTGTCTTGTACTTAAAAATATACATATTTCTGAAATCAGAATACCACTTACAACTGATGACATGTCAGTTTACTTGGCAACTTTTTTTCTTAGTGGCACGTTTAAAAATGGTGCATCTTATAACTGACAGAATGTTAAGTTTGATGAACTGCAGTAATCCAGATGTTCACGTCCTTTCCCTTTGAAGCTCTCTGGTGTTATCTGTGATGTTGAAAGGAAATAAGAGTATGTACAGCATTTTAGTCTTCAAAGCAATTGTGTGTGATGTATCCCGCCGGCTCTCCACGATCGCCCTCGGGGGTGGCAGGGCAGGTGCGGTGGATGGCACTGGCTCTCTCCACCTCGGGGCAGGCACGGACCCCCCTTTGACTTCCTGTTCTGCAGGCCGCGTCATAAGAAACCGGCTCTGGTTCCAGGCTTTCTCTGGTGGGAAAAAGTTTCCACCTTAGAAGCGAGAGATCATTCTGGATCCTTTCTCCAAAGGGCAGAAGCTTCCTGACCCGGGCCTGGGAGGACTGAGGCAACGCCTGCTTTTAACTTTGATTTCCTGACAGGATCGGTTCAAGTTCATGCTGATGATGCAGCGGCAGGGCAGGCAGGTGAAGGTCACGAAGGCCACTCACCCCTCTGTGCCCTGAGGGCGGAGTCAACTCCCTGGACCCGCCTCCTTCCCGGTTAGGCGGGGTGTCTCAACTCTGATTCCACCGGGGCCTCCATCACTGCGGCTCACCAGGCTGGCGGCCTAGCGGACCGCTCACTCCTTGTCTTTGCGCCATAATCGCCACCCTCCGCTTTCCAGCCCGGCCCCTCGGCTTGGTGCAGGCCCCGCCCCTTCCCATCTGCGGGGCGGCCGGAGGGGCCCCCCCAGCAAGATGGCGGTGAACCAGAGCCACACGGAAAACCGCCGCAAGGCCTACATCCCTTACGGCGAAAGGTGCCTGAGGGGAAGCCGGGTGC